ATCTTCATCTTCATCTTCATCTTCATCTTCGTCTTCATCTTTATCTTTTCCTTTATCCTGATCTACATCTTCATTCTTTTCTTTATTTACATTTTCGCCCCACCATTGTTATTGGGTAAAGTATTTAAATTTCCCTTCTTCTTTGTCTTTATACTTAGAATCCCTTACTTTTATTATTATTATTATCATTTTATTATTTATTATCCCTTTCTTCTTCTACATACTCAACTTCACCTTCTTCCTTGCTTGAATCTTCCCAACAATTGTAAAGTAAATTTTTGCAGCATAGTTTAGGCGCAAATTTATTGACAAATAGTAAAGGTTGATTATTTGTCANAACAATTGTAAAGTAAATTTTTGCAGCATAGTTTAGGCGCAAATTTATTGACCAATAGTCAAGGTTGATTATTTGTCAAGTGCACAGAATTGGGGGGTTAATCTACATAAATATGATTCCTAAACTGCTGCTTAGCACATTTCTTTAATTCAGTATCAATATTAAAGCATACATTTAGGAGACATTTCCCCCCAACCATTTACATGTAGGACATTAGTATTGGTGTCACTTTTGAATTGATTTTTTCGCTTTAAATTAAACTAATATCAAATTTGAAAAATTGTCTGCACATCAGCATCAAAATACCTTTCTAATTAGATTTAACTTATCAATGATATATCCAATATTACAGGAAAAGTCAAATTATTACAAAATCAATGTGTAGCAGAAAGTTTTACTTCGCATCTTATTCGAAATAAATAGATGTTGCAGCTTTCGTATTTTAATTGTGGACCTTTATGCCGATCTTATTGAAGCAAAGTTAAAGCTTAGTTTTAGAAAAACGAGGCTTCTTATTTTGATCCATTATCTCGTGCAACGACAACTTTACGACTAGTTTTTTTATCGATTGCAGCTTGGTACAGCGCTACTATCGACTACCGTGATAGGCATATAGCTCTAGGCCGACGGGGTATCTCATTTCACTTGTTAAGCCTGGTTTTCATTAGGTCATATTTGACGCCAAATGTTGTCAAAATAATGAAAACGGGTTGTCATCTGGTGTCATTTGCGTTTGTTGTCATATATCACCACGCACGGTCATATAAAATGACATCCAAATGAAAACGGCCCTTTACTTTGCAAATGCCGCTTTTTGTCACTTCCATTGTATCTGTCAATCCTGCTTGCTCCACTATTATCGTATGTGGCGCTTGGGCGTTTGCTTTTTTTGTTGTTCAATTAACTGTACCTGCCAGAAATAGTACTATTTAACGAATCCGGCGGCAGGGAGAGGGCTGGTAGCTGAATGGGTTTAATGGAAGCAAGTGGGGCGCCGCTGGCTGTTGAGTCGGGTGCCTTCACAGGACGTATGTACATAAGCACATATGCGTGTATATAAAGATCAGGCATGGGCGAAATCAGGAAAATGAATAATTGAATTAAAAGAATAAGAATAAGTTTGCCTCCATCATTCAAGTAATTTCGAATGAAAAATAAATGTTCATTCATCATCATGAAAATGAAGAGTAAATGTATGAATCTTTCGTCCACTCCCCACGTCCAGCCCCTCCTTGATCTTTGGCTTTGGTATGTATCTTCAGCATGAAGGATGTCAGACTGAGTCAGACTGATTGGCCTGAAGATTTTTGCCAGCGCGTAGTCAGCCTTTGCTGGTCATAGTCATCCTTTCCTAAAAATATTTATATATACAGAGTAATCTACTTATAATGGAATCGCTTAAGATGGAAACTCTGTTACTATGTAATTATTTTCCAAGTCCCAGGACTAGATTATAACGGACTCCGCCTATAATGGAATAAATATCGGCTTTTGTCCATTATAAACGGGGCTCTCAAGGCCAAATTAAAAAAAAAATCTCGGCAATAAACGAAATTTGGTAAGTCCACGAATTCATTAAAGAAAGGCTACTGTCTCTGCAACATAAAATGTCTAGGAATGGAAAATGGGCCGTGACACCGCCCACACACACTGAAATTCTCATATCGCTTATCTCTGGAACCGCTTATGCTAACGTTCTTAAATTTTTGACACAGCCACATATGCTATCAATACCACACTTACGTCGAAAAGTAGTAAATTTTGGAAAAGGGGGCGTGGCACCTCCCATACAAACTGAAATCTTATAACGCTCAACTCTGTATCAGGCTTATGCTAACGTTCTGAAATTTTACACAGCTGCATACGTTATCATTACCGGACGTATGGCTAAAAGTGATGTGTATTCGAAAGGGGGATGAGGCACCTCGCATACAAAATACAATTTCCATATCGCTTATATCTGGAACCACTTGTGATAAGGTAATGGAATTTAATCATGTATACACAAATATGTATATACACAAAAAATTGAAAGAATAGTTCAATTGGAACTATTTTCTACCAGATTTCTAAATTTTGAATGATTTTTATTTTGTAAAATGATTTTTGAAAGGATCAGTGTGTTTGTCTTCCGTTAGGTGGCAGGGATTGAGAGTAGAGATAGGCATGGGACTAAATATAAAGTCCCGATCCCGCCCATCCCCAAATTCAATGTTTAACTTTCGAACCCGCTCATCCCGACGTTTTTCAGAATTATACCGCGGGCCCGGGGCCCTGAAATCTATCTCTAAAAAAATTCACATGTCTTTCAAATTAATTTTAAATAAAAACCGCCCATCCCGGCCATATTGAAATCAGTAATATGGGTCGCGCGGGTCCCGATATCCCGTGCCCATCTCTAATTGAGAGCTATTCTTAAAATTTATGGTAAGATTTGCTTCATCTTTAGAACACATAACAGCAATATAAAATTTGGTGCAACTCAGTAGCCCAATCGTGTGATGCAAAAATATTGAGCTTTAGCCCAATTTTGACAAAAACCCGTGTAAAAGCGCCGTTAGAGTAGGAAATATTATATTTTGTTTCACACCTTCGAGGTACTTAACCTCCACCGATTCTGATGAAAAGAAAGAGGAGTTTATGCAGATGTTGGCAATTTTGTTTTAACCTTCCAAGTGGCTCTCAGACTAATATAATCGAAAAACGTGTCTACAGTCTGAATTGGTATTTTTTAGCATAATAGTCAATGAGGAAGCGTTAGGCATCTCATCTATACATACAAATACATACATATCGTCGATTTTTTATACCCGAGCGCACTTGTGCACAAGGGTATNACCGATTCTGATGAAAAGAAAGAGGAGTTTATGCAGATGTTGGCAATTTTGTTTTAACCTTCCAAGGGGCTCTCAGACTAATATAATCGAAAAACGTGTCTACAGTCTGAATTGGTATTTTTTAGCATAATAGTCAATGAGGAAGCGTTAGGCATCTCATCTATACATACAAATACATACATATCGTCGATTTTTTATACCCGAGCGCACTTGTGCACAAGGGTATATTAATTTTGTTCACATAACGGTTGTTTGTAACAGCCAAAACGAATCGAGATAGATATAGACAAATGTATACATAAATGATCAGGATGAAAAAAGAAATCGATTAAGCNGTTTCATGCTCGATTTCAAAAATTTCAGTATCTTGCCTAGAGAGATGGTAAGAAATATAGAGTTTAGCTGTTACAAATGGCCGTTTCGGCAGCAAATCTTAATAAACCCTTGTGCACAAGTTGTGACCAAGTGTGCTTGGAGGTATTGTTATACTCATTCCCAACTTAATAAAGACAACCAAATATAACAAGTTTTAATGCACATCACTTCACAAACACTTACATTTCATATTTAGGTTGTGGCTCGCGCTCCGGTCGACGAGAACCACGCGCAACAACAGCCCCATCAGCTACGGAATCTGCGGCAATGAAAGCCCAACAACCACGACAACTTGAGCGTACGCCTCGCATAATAGCAGGGTCGCCTACAAAGGATGGCCAGTATCCGTGGCAAGCATCGCTTGAGCTGCTACATCCGTCAATGGGGTTTTTAGGCCACTGGTGTGGCGGTGTACTTATTCATCAAAATTGGATACTTTCCGCAGCGCATTGCGTACACAAGTGAGTAGACAGCGCAACATAGTTGGTAATAGATTTTAGTATATTTAGATCTTTTAACTTCTTTTTGCATTCCCTTTGCAGTGATCTCTTCAACCTACCCATACCACTGCTATGGACGGTTGTGCTAGGTGATCACAACCGGCTCGAAGAATCTGGTTATGAACAACGTGTTCCCGTCGATAAGATTATTCTACACAAGCGCTACCACAACTTTCGTCACGACCTCGCACTCATGAAACTCTCCACACCAGCCAACTTGGCTAGAAACTCCAACATACGCATCATTTGCCTGCCCTTTGCATACAATGAGCAGTCTCTTTCGGACATCGATTTATCAGGCAGTGATGAGGAGATCATAGCTGAGGGCGAATCAGAGGACCCCTTGGAACCAGGACTCGCCGGCGTGCCCGATTTGAGTGACAATTTCCTACGGAGCGTGCAAAAGGTGCGGCGCAATCGAAATGTAACCCTACCAAGCATGCGCGAATTGATGAATACGAAGATACTGAGTCGATTAAAGCAGACAGATTTACAGCGACGAGGACGCGTGTTACGTGCAACGCGACGGCGAAATGATAAACTCATGAAAGTACAGGGAAATTATCGCGAATATGAAGGTATTCTAGACTCGCGCAAACACTATTGGAAGAATGGCGGAGAGTTGGAAGACTACAAAGATTTGCCCTACAGTGATTGTGTAGCGACGGGATGGGGCAAGTCGAACGTGAGCAGTGATTTGACGAATGTGCTGCTTAAGACACGAGTGCCATTGCATAACAGTGACAGGTTGAGCAATTGATCTTGAATATGTTATAGAAAACTAAAATAAGAATATCAAAATTTCAGATGCAGAGCGGCTTATGGCAGTTTTGTGAAAATCCACCGCGGTCACTTATGCGCTGGCAAACTAAATGGCAAGGGTGGTACTTGCGTGGTAAGTTGAAGTGAAAATTCAAATTAAAAGCATTTAAAACATTTGTGCGCCACTTCACAGGGCGACTCAGGCGGACCGCTACAGTGTAAGCTTAGCAAAAATGGTCCATGGCTATTGGCCGGAATTACTTCGTTTGGCTCAGGTTGTGCCATGGAAGGCTTCCCCGATGTCTATGTGCGTATTTCGTACTATATGAAATGGATTCAGGATACAATAGCAAACGAATAATCAGCAGCATGTAAATACATATTGATCTAATGAATATAAAAAATATTTAAGTACAACTTGTATATAGCGAAGTAAAACAGTGATAAGTAAAATAATCTTACTGATATTAAATTTATTCGTAAGCTTAGTAAACCACTATTAGACCTAAATTAATTTGTAATAAGTTATATAAAAAAAGGTTACTTAATAACAAAATGCAGTGTAATTGAAAATTGTATGTATGTACATAAATACAAAACCTAAAAATTTCATTAGTTGTTCCTCGCTATCTACTATCCTTAACAAATTTATTTACAAAGCATAAATGTTATACTTAATTCGTAATATCACAGTTTGTTTTTAGTTATTCGACTTTACACTACGCCTAAACGCCGCGCTGCAGCGGTAGCAATGTCGTATCGTAACTACGTTTCATTTGTATCGCCGTTATTGACTGTTTCGGTAGCATTTTCATCTCAACTATCGTTGGCTGTTTAAGCAATGGCAAAAATGCCATATTCGCTTTGAGGCCAGCCTCTGCGCTCTTTGCTTGTTCCATGGTGGCATTGAGTGTATTCCATGATGCAGGCACCCAAAAGCAGTATAACAATGCGCTGCTGATCAAATATACACCGATCGCCAGCAGTGTGATCACCAGCCCAAGCTGCAGGCATGGACAGACGCGGAAGAGTAGCGTAAGCAGCATTTTGACGCCTGGTGTGAGGTCCTCAACGGCCTGTCAACGATTTTGAAGTTTGAGTAAAAAAAGGGTTGTATTTTGTGAGTGCTAAGCTAGACTCACCATTTCGATCCAAAATATAGGTAAAGCGATATTTTTAAATTGCGATACATCTCGGCTGTGCTTGACATCGCCCATTAGTAAATTTATTTGAAAGCGTGAACGTACTCTCATCGGGATGCCAAGTTGCTGGAATTGACAATGGGAGAAATTAGCATAGTTTATATTTTAGGAAAATTTCAACTGAAATACAATAATAGTCAGGTCTACATAACGCTCATTCGCTGCAAGAGAGTCATAATCAAAAAATAACAAAATTTTGCAGAAATGAACGCCACCTGTTCTGCTATATATATTGTGTAAAAATTGCATCTCTGTATCGGCTAACAGTAGACATCCATTAAGAATAGGTATTTACAGCGACTTTAAGATCTATTGTGCTCTCCTCACACCACTTCGTTCAGCCCTACAATCACCAGAAAGTCTGGAAAAAAGTTTCGGGGTATGGGGTGTATGTTAGCGTGGTCCAGAAATCCGCTTTCTTATAATTTTGATTGGTAATAGTAAAAATATGGTTCATTATGCTCTAAAAAAAATTATAAAACAGCGGATTTTCGCCCACGCTAGTGTTTGTGTTTATTCTCTGGCCACACTGAGCCCAGAATTTTTTTCCGTCACACTCAAGAAGTAGGTGGTTTTCTTAGCTGAGACGCAAAAGCGACAGTGCGTAGATCTCTTCATAATCCGTAGTTTCCCGCCACAATCCCCAGTTTCTATTTCGGCAGGTTATTGAGAAGCTTATATCTCTTCTGGTTATACCCCCTCCCCCACTTAATCTCTTAGTTTTTTGGAATCCAATGGTATTTCGCCAATTCCGTTATCTCATTCTTATTGTCTATTTTCTGAGCTCCTCCTTTATCGTGTCGGGACTTACTGCAAGGTATAGTTTGGGACCTATGTTGAGCAAGGGTATTTAAATTCTCAATGCTCTCAAAGACTAGGAAAGATTTGACTTCAAAGGAGAGTAGTGCCTCGAGTGCCGCCTGACTGTGGCTAAGAATTTGTACTCCCTCATTACGGTAGTTTTTATATTAGCAATAATATTTTGGCGCTTACACTTTTGCTAAGTATTTGGGGGAGCTTCTTCTTCAATTTGTGTTGTGCGCCTTGGGGCAAATGGATTTTATGGCAGAAATATGGTGGAAGTAGTAGTACGCACCTCCAACCACTCAGCCACAGTGGCGGGTAGTTTTTACTTAAGTTAATCCCTACACACAGATTGATTATTGACACCTCCGCTTTAAAAATGCTCGGGACATTCCCATAGGCACAGATAATTTTGTACGGGGACAGGGAGCATACCGAGGGTTTTAAAAGCTGTCATCGCAACGTAGAGTCGAGAACCGCCCATTCCTCATCACTTAGATATTAATAAGTGGTGTAATTACATTTTTCCCGGTTGCAGAAAAGGAGCTATTGATAACGACTCAAGCGAAAGAAAAAAAGATTCACAAGAGCTCGCCGGCAGGAATTTGAATTCAAAATTTTACAAAAAAAAGGCAGTCGCGGCCAGTTTCTGCAGATCAGAAGAAGCAAATGCCGCTATATGCATGCAGAGTGCATATTTTATAAAGAACAACCTAGACCAATGCACTGTGGCTCCTCTGACTTGGCCATATCGAACGAATGGACGCTTCAACTCTGAAAGTAGACAATGCGGTTCGCGATGCTGGTAGGAGGAGAGAGGGAAGGTCTCATTTGCGGCGGAAAGACTTAGCTTCACTTGGTATTTCCAGTTCGCATAAAATAGTAACGACTGTCGTGCTTTGTTGCAATCAGTCAGAAATTCTTAGAGCGTATTTACAAGCTGTTAAGCGCAACTTGGTCATATAAATACATGAATGAAGATTTAATGAAATAAAGCCCTACACGAACCGAGTTAATGGGTCTTATCAGTTTGAATTCTGACCTGCCAAACTCAGCATTAACCATATTTCCACAGAGCGTCAAATACTGGAAAATACTTTTGATAAAAACATTGACTCATACTACATTTTAGTTATACTTAAAACCGCATTTAATATACAAAGGCAAATGTCCGCTGTGATGCCGTGCCTACGTTTAAGAACTCCGCGGAGTGCCAAACTACTCGGAACCAATCGAAATTTCAGAAAAGCCGGCTCACTGTTATGCAACTTCCCCAATCTTATGTTTTGAAGCGAAGCACCGAAACCTTCCCGTACTGAGATACACGTCACTCTTGGCCATTTCTTTGTGATATAGTATTGGTAGCCTAGAGATCAAGCGAAGAATAACTCTTGCCAACACTTACCATTTATGCCCAAAAGGTGTTAGGAAAGTAGAGCCCCGCTTTGATGCTATTTAATTCTAACATCATGCTAACAATTTAAAATAGCGCAGAAACGTGAACGTTGTCTAATAAGGAAGAGAAGGTTGTCTTATAAAGAAGAGAAGGTACGCGGTCCTTAACGGCATGGTTGTGTTACTCCGAAAATATACCTAGGTGCGGCTCCCATGGATGGAACAGTGAAGCCTTCCCTTAATAAATATATGTTATACTTACTGGTTGTATAATGATATCTGTGCCATGTCTATCCTTATCAGGGTTCAATCCTTCGATATTTTCTAGCAGACTGGGGTCACCGTTGAAAAAATGTGGAAAAGAAACCGCCATAGGTATGTCTAAAATAAAATATGGGCTAGTTGGTGGCAGCTCATTAGCCGTATAACTATTTCACTTACTGTAGTAGCAAGGCGTAATATTACCCAGCCCCTTTTTCAAACAATGTTTACTCTTGCAATAGCATGAAGTCTCTGCATCATCCAGATCACTATCGAATGCATTTTCCTTCAGCTTAAATTTGTAACCTTTGAATCCATTAACAGTCTCAGGATGCGAGTATTGAATGGGCAAACTGCGACAGAAGGCTTTCCGGTACACTCGAAATGTTTCGCCTTTGTGAATGTTGCGCGGAAAGAGAGTACCGTCGTATGTGCCGCGTAGTGTATTGCAAGGTGTATTGCTCTTGCTGCAAAGAACAGAGAAAAAACAATATTGATGTTATAAGCTAACTTTTAAAGTTGCAGGCGAGTATAAATTACTTTCGATCCGCATGGTAGTCCCAATTTTTGAAACCCGTCTTGCCATTCCAGTTATCGATGGAGAAGTCACGATCTGTTTCTTGGACTGCATCCTCATCACTCGCTGTTGCTGTTTGTTTCATCTTATCGGGCAGTTTCATAGTAACCACATTATGGCCCTCATCGAACATCTGCAAGCATTTAAAGGAATACAAAAAAAAACGTAAGTCATTAATGTTAAATTTCCATGTCTATTTTGTATATTAGTTTATTTAATTCTCTACTAACCCTCTCCATTAAACCAAAGCGCTGAAAATGTATAACGCTCGGCACCACCTTTGATGCTAATTGCACCAACGGATCCTCATAGCCCCACAGATAATCATGCACTGTTAACTCCAACATTGGTTTCGAATTGAACTTCTTCGTCAACGCACTCACAGCCATGCTAGCGAAAAACGAGTAACCAGCTGCCGCCGATAATATACCCATGAATGGTATATTCGGCGCCACAATTTTATCGACCAGCGGATCGCCAATAGAACGTTCGCGTATAAATCGCACAGAACGCACTGGCGTAAACGTCACTGTGTTGTTGTCATTAAACAATACATTTTGGTTCTCCAACATCTCTTGATACACATATGGTCCCGCCTCGACCACCTTCAACTTGGTATCGTGTCCGCTCATAAAGGCTTCTACGTTGGTGACATTGAACATATACACACTGATGAATACTTCGAGTGGTGGCTTTAGCCACAAATTATACAGTAGCGTGCCAGTCTTCAGGGTCAATTGCTGAAAAAATAAGTTAAACAAATTCGAAAAATGTCATTGCCTGGTAATGCAGCAAGATAAAACAAATTTGATGATGCATGGTAACTCAATTCAAGATCACTTGTAATTACAGTGATACTTAATAGTTACGCCTGCATTGTGCACTTACATTATCGATTAGTATCTGTAGTGGATCGATCGCAATCATCAGCGCAGCCAAACTTATTAGCGCAATGCCAATGCTGGATAATTTGAGTATCCCTGAAAAATGGCAGAGGAAAGGGCGAAAATGCAAAAATTAATATCAATTTGCTTTACTTAATTGTAGCTTAAAAGTAAAAATTCACATAGTAAATAAATAAGTACTACATGCATTTGCATGTACATATGTATAAACAACAGTGAGCAGCCTGAAATACTATGGTGGCCATTCATAAATCTTCGGAATATTTAAAATGGAGTGATGCAATAAAAACAAGTGAAAATTTTACTTTAACAGATTACTGCATTTGCAAAAATTTATATATTCACAGCAAACATAGTTAGATAGAGGAGTTACATATATAAAAAATCATATTTAAACAATCAGAGGTACGGATGATATACCTTATATAGCACCAATCTAAGTGATCTTCACTGCTGTGTGATCGGTATGTAAACCGGTAACACAATTTAATGGGTTTAGCTTCCTACACACAGGATGTGTTAGGACGTGGATGATAGGTTCTGGGAGAACATTTTTGAAGGCATCTCGATATTAGGGGAGACGCCTAATGCAAATTCCTTAAACGCTAGTGCCTCTTCAATGGTGCAAGCAATACTATACAAAGCTGTATCTACAGGACCTGCCTATCCAGTAGGCATTCGGACAGTTAGATAGTTTATTTTTATCAATTTCCTTTTGGATATTCAAGACAAGTAGTCTTTCTAGAACCTTCCGACAGGAAGAAGGGAGTCTTATCGGTCGATAGTCGCTTGGCTTTACGTGGGATAGTCTTCCATCTTTGGGAATGAACATAATTTTCACCAGTCCCCCCAGACCCCTTGGGTATGAATATAAATCTAGGACAAGTCTTATAGATTGAGACTTGAAATATCGGATGCTGATTGAAATTGGGCAGCGAAAATACCGTCCATGCCAGGAGATTTATAGGGCTGCAAGGAGTTTATGACCCACTCTACCCCTTTTACATCAATGAAATTCGCAGATGAAAAGTTTGCACTCATTACAACCATACAGCATTTCCTTTTAGGATGACTTCCACTCGCCATTTGGCTGCTGAATATACAACATTGAGTTCGTCCGATATTTAGCAAGCACTTTTACCCTCCGACTGTTCCACTATGCTATCGCAATAATCCTTTCAGAAATACATTTGGGCTTTCCTGGTGGCATTCTTAAATTTCTTCAGGGCCCATTTGTAAGCAGACCAAGAACCATTCCACTTTGCCGCATCGAAGAGTTTCCTGCTTTCCTTCCTTAGAGGGGCGATTTCTTTGGCTTGCTCATTCCTCTGGGAATTACAGTTGGGCAGGAAGCAGAGAAGGCCGTATTACAGACGTAAGTAAGGCAATCTACGACTTCCTCTATTTCCTCTGATGAGCTTAACTCACCGAGAGAAGCGAGGTTGGCAATTAGAGGCTCCGCTTCGCTAGGTGGTAACAGTAACTCGAGGGAAGCGTCCTTGGGCAAAGACTCCGATAGTAGGTAACCTCTAAGCATAGCCCAATCGGTACGTCTCTTGTTTCTGTACAAAGCCGGAGCCGGAAATTAAAAGAAGATTTCGAATGAAAGATACATTTGATCACAGAATGAATTACATTACATTTAGTACATGCCATTCCCCAATGCTCTCAAAGAAAAAGTTAGACGTTAATGTAATAAAAGTCCCAGTTACTAGTTGTTCAAATTTTATTAATTTGGTAAATAAAGTTAGGTAAGTATGTATTTGATAGCATCGCCTGTGAACTTTAAGCTAATTGTGACACTTGTTCCATGACAATGACAATGAAAATCACCACCTAATAAAAACCGGTATTAAACCAATAAAACTTGTATGCCTTCATTTAAGATTCAAAACAAAATTTTGCTGAGTAAATGAAATAGTTAATTAGCAAATTAATCAAATAACCAAAAACTTAAACATAGCTGCCATTGGTGTCAAAGAAACTATGAAAAAACACAGCATGAAAATAAACAACTGCAAAAACAACACATTCGAAACAATCAAACATAGTCAATAATAGCAAAATGCAAATAAATCAGATTGCAACAACAATTAACGCAACAATAGTGTAATTCGCAACGGTGGCGTTTGTAGCTGGAAAGTTAGAGCATTGAACCGAGCGATTATTATTGTACCCGCACTTTATTTGCTTATGTATCTGCCTACGAAGCAATGTATATACATATATATGTACATACATAAGTAAGTATTTAAATTATGTAAACATATGTACATTAGACTGCATCACCAAAAAAAAAATNCCTACGAAGCAATGTATATACATATATATGTACATACATAAGTAAGTATTTAAATTATGTATACATATGTACATTAGACTGCATCACCAAAAAAAAGTTGCGGTTTTTCTGCCGGGACTACAAAATTTATTATATTTTAAGACGTCCACCAAAATATTTCGGAAAAATATTAAGATTTATGCGAGCTAGACCGATTTGAAAATACCTCCAAAAATGGTGTTTTTTTATGAATGAAAATAGTTTCTTAAAGAACTTTGTGAAAATTTACATAAAAATATTTTCAACGGAATCATGGCAATGAGATTTTTGATGTAGTTTTTTACTTTTTTCAAAGATTTATTTACGAAAAACTTAAATAACTGGGNAATACCTCCAAAAATGGTGTTTTTTTATGAATGAAAATAGTTTCTTAAAGAACTTTGTGAAAAAAGTCCCCTCAAATGACAAAACGGTTTAAGCTTAAAAAATTTACATAAAACTATTTTCAACGGAATCATAGCAATGAGATTTTTGATGTAGTTTTTTACTTTTTTCAAAGATTGATTTACGAAAAACTTAAATAACTGGGCCAAATTTATTCTGATTTAGACTTATGGGATCTCGGTAGAAAGGTATTTTCCCCCTTTTTTTATTTATGTGCAAAAAAGTCATTCGTGTCCTTTTTTTCAAATACCAACACAACTTAAATCAACTTTGAATGATGTTCGTTCATCCTACCTTTCTCTTTCATCCTTTGAATGAGCTTGTTAGCAAAGAAATAAAAAGGGTGAGAAAATACCTTTCCAATGATACCTCACAAGTCCAAATCGGAAGAGTTTAGGTTCAGTTATTCTTATACCAATCTTTGAAAAAAGTTAAAAAAAACAGCATCAAAAGTCTCGTTATTACGATTCCGTTCAAAGTTTTTATTAAACATTTTTATGTAAATTTTTTAAGCTTAAACCGTTTTGTCATTTGAGTGGATTTTTTCAAAAAACATCATTAAGAAACTATTTGTATTCATAAAAAACTTTTTGGAGGTATTTTCAAATCGGTCCAGCTCGCTTAAATCCTGATATTTTTTTTTTTTTTTGTGGGCGTCTTAAAATATAATAGATTTTATAATTTAAATGGAAAAACGATACCGATTTATTATTTTTATTTTTTTTTTGTATGTCGAGTGATTCAGTCTAATGTACATATATTTGATTGTAAGTTTGAACGTGTTTTTATGCGCAGCCATGTCAGCAACACTGATCGAGGGTACATGATATGTACATAGCAACGACAACAATTGCGATACCAATGGGTTGGCTATTAGAGCATTGGCAGGCGCAGAAGTAAAAATAAAAACAATACCAACAGCACAAACGCATTAAACGTCGAAACAAGCAACAATCGCCGTTGGTGTCGGTGTCAGACTATCGACAGCAGAACTATCACCACTGAAGTATGTCTGGCAAATCCACTTNTGTAAGTTTGAACGTGTTTTTATGCGCAGCCATGTCAGCAACACTGATCGAGGGTACATGATATGTACATAGCAACGACAACAATTGCGATACCAATGGGTTGGCTACTAGAGCATTGGCAGGCGCAGAAGTAGTTACAAATAAAAACAATACCGGCAATACCAACAGCACAAACGCATTCAACGTCGAAACAAGCAACAATCGCCGTTGGTATCGGTGTCAGACTATCGACAGCAGAACTATCACCACTGAAGTATGTCTGGCAAATCCACTTGACAAATACGCGAAGCAGATTAATAAAATTGAATAATAACTCGGCTCAAACAAAAGTAACAACAGTTAATAGTAACTATTGTCTAGTACAATTACAATTAGCGAAAAATTAGCGAGGTATACTACAATAAATAATTGTCGAACACTTGTTTAATGTTTAATTTTTTATGGAAAAAATGTCTGCATTTCGTTGTACTTTATATGTATGTAGTATGTACCTACTAGCCCTGCAGGAAATACTAACTCATACAGAAAATATACTTAACAAAGATTATGAACTTTAACGTCGCATAAACCAAATTTTAGTGGCAGCTAATGTCAATGAAGGATATGATTCCTCAACGGCGTTTATACCATAAACAACCCAAAAACTTAAAGCTTTACATATTTCAGCATAAACATACTGAGTACGAGTGCGCTTTGCGCTGTTAACAGTCACTTCAAAGTGGGGGAAGGAAGCAAAAGGTATGATCGAAACTAAGCGTCGTTCTCGTTATTTTGTTCCCAAGAATACTCAAAAAGCCAAACCGAAATTATAACAAAACTTTCGGCAGTGTTTTAACAAGACGAAAGTAAGAAAACAAAAACTATCGAGAAGGCTCTAACGGGAATTATGTATATAACAACAAAACCCTGTGGAAAACAAAATGGGAACAATACCTTCGGGTACATTTCTAAGAGAACAAAGTGTGAACAAATGTCTCTCGGACGTTCTGGCCAAAAGAAAAGCAAAACGGGACCCAAAACCTAAGGAACTTTCTCTCGTAGAAAAATTTGTGAACTACAGTCTCAGAAACATTCTGACAGAGAAAGAAACGGGGAAATCTTCTCATAGCATTGCGTTAGTTTGAAATGTTAGAATATTAAAATTAATCAAAAATAAATAAAAGATAATTATGCAANCAAAGTGGGAACAAATGTCTCTCGGACGTTCTGGCCAAAAGAAAAGCAAAACGGGACCCAAAACCTAAGGAACTTTCTCTCGTAGAAAAATTTGTGAACTACAGTCTCAGAAACATTCTGACAGAGAAAGAAACGGGGAANGGAAC